TACTCGTAAATGTTTTGTTTTTGATGAGTAGAGAATTTTATAATAGTATTTTCAACCTTTAGAAAGCACGCATCAGTTGTAAATTGAGTCAATAAGTATTGCTCTTTGTGACTAATATTCTTTTGCCAATAAGTATTTAGCAAATTTTTTTTATATACTGCATTAAGTATGGTTATGTGTTAAGCTGCAACAGATTATTTAAGAAATGCTTAATTTACTTTAATTTTTTTTATGTTGCTAATGGTACGTATTTTATGTCATACATACCATAAATTGCATTGCTATGTTGTTTTACTGTAGTATTTCTGGATAGTGTGAAACTTTCAGAGTAGACAAACTGGTACCTTTAGTTTTATTTTATTGTATCATTTTAAAATTTTGTCACTGGCAAAATGTCATATCTTGGCAAGGGTAGAAAGCAAGACCTCATAAATCTGTCTGTAGAATTAGGTCTAGAAGTTCCCCCCCCAAATGCAAAAATACAAGATCTTAAAAACCTCATTGTACAGAGCCCTCAGTATGACGAAAAATTCGTCGAGGCAACACTAGAGTCGATTATCGAAGCGCGAATCGAACAACATAGACTCGAAGAAGCCGAAGAGCGTAAACTTGAAAGGGAAAGGGAGAGAGAATTTGAATTAGAACGTCTAAGGTTGACAAACGCCAATAATGGCAGAGAAAATTCTCAAAATAATATTCCGAGATCTATGAGAGATTTGCAAAATTTAATGCAGAGATATAATCCCGAATCATCGGATATTTCGCTTTACTTAGCGATGTTTGAGCGTCAGGCTCGCAAAGCGAAGGTAGAGGAAGGAGACTGGGTGTCACATTTGATGGCTCTATTGCCAATGGACATTGTTTCTATTATTCTACGAGAGCCGGAACAGGAGCTAGATAATTACTCCTACGTAAAGAAAATTCTTTTGCAGCGGTTTAAGTTGAACCCAGAGGCGTTCCGCGTCAAATTTGTTCAACACCAGCGTCGTGCGGGTAGTTTATATAAAGACTTTGCTTTTGAGTTAAAAAACTATCTAGATGAATGGTTAAACGGAGTAGACGTACGAGATTTCGATGCGCTAAAAGACTTAATGTTGACGGATCAAATTAAACGTCGAGTAAACAGCGAAATTCGCGAACACTTCGTGGATGAGTGGCCGAGTATATATCTTCTTCTTCTGCCGAACTAGTGAAGAAATTAGATGAATATGAAGCAGTACGAAAGTCCGTAAAAAAACCAACAGGTTTTACTAAAAATACCGAACAGGATTCAAATATTAACGAAAGGAAAAAAGGAGAATTTTCAGATCGAGTACGTCGCCATGATAATGTTTCGAAAGAAAAAACTGCGGAGAAATGGAAGTCAAGTGTTTTCGAAACAACGGAGAATACCTAGATGTTATGAATGTAATTCAGATAGTCATCTCCGACCTCAGTGTCCTCGGTTAAAAAGACAAGAGGCCGCTGAAACTGTAAACAAACTAGGCACTTCAGGATCTCCAGATACATGGCTAGCTCCCTATATGAGTATAGCGAGAGTAAATAATCGAGAAATGCCTGTACTCCGAGATACTGGCTCCACTATCGATCTGATCGGATGGGACCAAGTAACACATCAGATGCTTCTAGGAGAGACAGTGTGGGTTAAGCAGCCGCTAGATTTACATCCCTGGTGTTTACCCTTGGCTCGAATTGAATTAGAGGGAGAGGACTTTGGGAAAGTCATTACTAAAGCCGCAGTGATTAGCTCCGACCTGAATCAAGAATATTATCTGCTGGGAAATCGAACAGCCCGATTGATAGAACAGAATAAAATGCAGCCCCATAAAATCAATGCTGTTATGACTCGCAGTCAAACGAAAGCTTGCAGCAGGAAAGAAAATTCCCCTAGCCAAGGTCCAGAGAACAAAGAAGTTGAGCGCCCCGCGCGGGCGAATGAATGACGAGGAGGAGGGTGAAATTTTCCCCGTCCAGTCAGCTAACGTCCGAGGCAAAGAAAGGGTGAAGTGTCCTCACCGTTCGGAGAACAGGTCAAGAAATGGACAAATCAAGATAACAAAAGCGGTCATTAACCCACGAAGTGCATGGACTTCTTTAGATTTACGAAGAAAGCGAAACATTTCTAAGAAAAAAACGCTGGTCCGTCAGGACGAATTTTTGTCTGGAATCCCGGAAGAAAGAACTCGGAAAGAAAGAAGTGCAGGAAGACCCCCGGAGCGTTTCCATTCACGATGTGCTGTTCGGAAATCTGAAACTGAACATCGAAATCGAACAGATCACTGGCAAAGTAGTTTTCAAGATAGAAACACAAAATATTTAGCTGTAAGTGGGAAAACCCACAGACATAATGAAAGCTCATGGGTGCGAAAACGAACCAAATAAATTGAGATTTTATCTGAATTAGGTACCAATAGGAGCCGACAACTTGTTTTGAGTACAATAATTTTTTGTTTGTTTTGTTTATTGTAGTACTTTGTATTTGTATATTGAGTGTTGATCCTTTTAGAATTACTTAGGATTTATTGTGTTCCTTAGCTTTATAGTACAGTTGCAGCCTTGCAACTTTGAGGTAGTTTACCGCCCAGGCAAATTGAATAAAAATGCTGATGGGCTGAGTCGTTTCGAATCGGGCGAAACATAGAGTGTAAAGAGGTGATCATGCCAGTTTCTTATCTGAATAAGTATTTTGTATACAGTAAAAGTGTAATATAAGAATATATCATCAGTTATTTTGTCCCTTTGTTAAGAATATTTGTGATGTGTATGTGTATATATATATATGTGTGTGATTCTGATTTTAAATATTCCATTAATTCTCGCCTCTAAAGTTAATGCCTTATTGACTTATATGTGAACTTTTCAATAGTGACATTACTAGTACTGTTATTAATCAATGTAGCTGTGTTCCTGTAAAGGTGTGTTTGAAAGTGTTATCGAGAGAACAGTTTATTTCGTGTCATTTTTTAAGTTAGTGAAATGATGAGGAGAACTTTCCTCTTCGTTTCAACTCGAGAAAAGTTCTTCCGAAGGGGGAAGGAATCTATAGCTGTAACGTCGTCAGCTATTTTCCCACGGGCTCCCACGAAGTCTGGGAAAAGGAGACTTCAAATGGGCGCCAGATGACCACCCTGATGACACTTACGAATTCTTGAGGTCGAACGTGACCCCCAACAAAGTGCGGAAAGCATATTGTTTTTACGAAAGGAGAAAACTTTCATACAAGTTCTCACGGGTTGTGGAGTGTCCATTGTGTGTATGCGATAGACTGTCGCCAACTGCCTGTTTCTCGAAATAATTTAGATAGACCTCCCAAAAAGACGTTCTGAATTTTCCCACGGAAAATTTCAGTTTCTCAGGCTGTCAAGACAGTATCTGAGAACAAATCAGCGCCTGTTGACCAATGGAGAGATGCTCCGAAAAAGACGTTTAGCGAATCACTGCAGCAGACGCACAAGACACGCCCAGAAAACCTGGACATAAAAACAGTGAGTGAAAATAACTAGAGAGTTTTTTTTTAGTCTGAAGAATACGCAATCGTTGCGTAGAGAAGAGAGAGCCTTTCTCTTGTATTTTACGGCTCTTCCCGAGTCGCTAGTAAGCTTTAGAGAGCCCCTTTCTCTCTTGTGTATTTTACGGCTCGTCCCGAGTCGCTACTAAGCTCTGTCAAGAGCGGAAAAAGAAACCCTCAAAGAAGCGTAGCCGGACTTTTTCTCCGCTACCTCTGTTTGAACTCAAGTGATTATCGTTTCCTATTGGAAATGGACTACTTTGCTAAGCAAACTACTTTGTTATGATAAGCAGTTGAACTTACCTTAAAATTCAATTTGTGAAATTTAACACTTACCTTATTTTTAATTACGCTACCAATAATAATTGCTACAGCTAAAATCGCTACAGCTAGAAGGTATGTGTTAATTGGTGGCAGCGGTGGGATCGTAAAAACCCAATAGACAAACAAAGACGTGATCGTTTTGGAGAACCGTCCCGGTTCTTATCTTCATTCAGAATCAGTCGATTCTAGCAGTGGAAAAGAATTCTTTCGCAGTAAAGTTTGGAGAGTTTAACCAGCAGCTGAAAAGGGATCATCGATGAGAAGCGTTCGTGAAGAATCAACTACTACAAAGACTAGTTCCGGAAGTGCCTGGGAAAGAGTGTGAAGTAAAATTCTCCCTCGGGTGTAAAGACAAGACACAAGAAGTCCAGACAAGAGTGAAGTGTTGTGAATTCGCGTTTGGTGTTTACCACCCTCTGTGCAGTGAAAGTGCTTTTGGTGTTTAGTGAAAGAAGAATCGCCCAGTCGACTATTGTTCAATTGGTTTCCTTCTTCGGTCATTGAATCGCGTGTGCAAATAGAAAAGAAAGGAAAGAAGAGCTGTTATTTTTTTTGTCTGCAATGGGTAAGTTGATATGGCATTATCTTTTTAAAGAGGCATTTTAATGGAGTTTGTCTTTTGTGTATCGAAATTATATGTTTAAATGGTTACTCGTAAATGTTTTGTTTTTGATGAGTAGAGAATTTTATAATAGTATTTTCAACCTTTAGAAAGCACGCATCAGTTGTAAATTGAGTCAATAAGTATTGCTCTTTGTGACTAATATTCTTTTGCCAATAAGTATTTAGCAAATTTTTTTTATATACTGCATTAAGTATGGTTATGTGTTAAGCTGCAACAGATTATTTAAGAAATGCTTAATTTACTTTAATTTTTTTTCCTATGTTGCTAATGGTACGTATTTTATGTCATACATACCATAAATTGCATTGCTATGTTGTTTTACTGTAGTATTTCTGGATAGTGTGAAACTTTCAGAGTAGACAAACTGGTACCTTTAGTTTTATTTTATTGTATCATTTTAAAATTTTGTCACTGGCAAAATGTCATATCTTGGCAAGGGTAGAAAGCAAGACCTCATAAATCTGTCTGTAGAATTAGGTCTAGAAGTTCCCCCAAATGCAAAAATACAAGATCTTAAAAACCTCATTGTACAGAGCCCTCAGTATGACGAAAAATTTCGTCGAGGCAACACTAGAGTCGATTATCGAAGCGCGAATCGAACAACATAGACTCGAAGAAGCCGAAGAGCGTAAACTTGAAAGGGAAAGGGAGAGAGAATTTGAATTAGAACGTCTAAGGTTGACAAACGCCAATAATGGCAGAGAAAATTCTCAAAATAATATTCCGAGATCTATGAGAGATTTGCAAAATTTAATGCAGAGATATAATCCCGAATCATCGGATATTTCGCTTTACTTAGCGATGTTTGAGCGTCAGGCTCGCAAAGCGAAGGTAGAGGAAGGAGACTGGGTGTCACATTTGATGGCTCTATTGCCAATGGACATTGTTTCTATTATTCTACGAGAGCCGGAACAGGAGCTAGATAATTACTCCTACGTAAAGAAAATTCTTTTGCAGCGGTTTAAGTTGAACCCAGAGGCGTTCCGCGTCAAATTTGTTCAACACCAGCGTCGTGCGGGTAGTTTATATAAAGACTTTGCTTTTGAGTTAAAAAACTATCTAGATGAATGGTTAAACGGAGTAGACGTACGAGATTTCGATGCGCTAAAAGACTTAATGTTGACGGATCAAATTAAACGTCGAGTAAACAGCGAAATTCGCGAACACTTCGTGGATGAGTGGCCGAGTATAATATCTTCTGCCGAACTAGTGAAGAAATTAGATGAATATGAAGCAGTACGAAAGTCCGTAAAAAAACCAACAGGTTTTACTAAAAATACCGAACAGGATTCAAATATTAACGAAAGGAAAAAAGGAGAATTTTCAGATCGAGTACGTCGCCATGATAATGTTTCGAAAGAAAAAACTGCGGAGAAATGGAAGTCAAGTGTTTTCGAAAAACGGAGAATACCTAGATGTTATGAATGTAATTCAGATAGTCATCTCCGACCTCAGTGTCCTCGGTTAAAAAAAAAGACAAGAGGCCGCTGAAGCTGTAAACAAACTAGGCACTTCAGAATCTCCAGATACATGGCTAGCTCCCTATATGAGTATAGCGAGAGTAAATAATCGAGAAATGCCTGTACTCCGAGATACTGGCTCCACTATCGATCTGATCGGATGGGACCAAGTAACACATCAGATGCTTCTAGGAGAGACAGTGTGGGTTAAGCAGCCGCTAGATTTACATCCCTGGTGTTTACCCTTGGCTCGAATTGAATTAGAGGGAGAGGACTTTGGGAAAGTCATTACTAAAGCCGCAGTGATTAGCTCCGACCTGAATCAAGAATATTATCTGCTGGGAAATCGAACAGCCCGATTGATAGAACAGAATAAAATGCAGCCCCATAAAATCAATGCTGTTATGACTCGCAGTCAAACGAAAGCTTGCAGCAGGAAAGAAAATTCCCCTAGCCAAGGTCCAGAGAACAAAGAAGTTGAGCGCCCCGCGGGGCGAATGAATGACGAGGAGGAGGGTGAAATTTTCCCCGTCCAGTCAGCTAACGTCCGAGGCAAAGAAAGGGTGAAGTGTCCTCACCGTTCGGAGAACAGGTCAAGAAATGGACAAATCAAGATAACAAAAGCGGTCATTAACCCACGAAGTGCATGGACTTCTTTAGATTTACGAAGAAAAGCGAAACATTTCTAAGAAAAAAAACGCTGGTCCGTCAGGACGAATTTTTGTCTGGAATCCCGGAAGAAAGAACTCGGAAAGAAAGAAGTGCAGGAAGACCCCCGGAGCGTTTCCATTCACGATGTGCTGTTCGGAAATCTGAAACTGAACATCGAAATCGAACAGATCACTGGCAAAGTAGTTTTCAAGATAGAAACAAAACAAATATTTAGCCGTAAGTGGGAAACCCACAGACATAATGAAAGCTCATAGGTGCGAAAACGCACCAAATAAATTGAGATTTTATCTGAATTAGGTACCAATAGGAGCCGACAACTTGTTTTGAGTACAATAATTTTTTGTTTGTTTTGTTTATTGTAGTACTTTGTATTTGTATTTGTATATTGAGTGTTGATCCTTTTAGAATTACTTAGGATTTATTGTGTTCCTTAGCTTTATAGTACAGTTGCAGCCTTGCAACTTTGAGGTAGTTTACCGCCCAGGCAAATTGAATAAAAAATGCTGATGGGCTGAGTCGTTTCGAATCGGGCGAAACATAGAGTGTAAAGAGGTGATCATGCCAGTTTCTTATCTGAATAAGTATTTTGTATACAGTAAAAGTGTAATATAAGAATATATCATCAGTTATTTTGTCCCTTTGTTAAGAATATTTGTGATGTGTATGTGTATATATATATATGTGTGTGATTCTGATTTTAAATATTCCATTAATTCTCGCCTCTAAAGTTAATGCCTTATTGACTTATATGTGAACTTTTCAATAGTGACATTACTAGTACTGTTATTAATCAATGTAGCTGTGTTCCTGTAAAGGTGTGTTTGAAAGTGTTATCGAGAGAACAGTTTATTTCGTGTCATTTTTTAAGTTAGTGAAATGATGAGGAGAACTTTCCTCTTCGTTTCAACTCGAGAAAAGTTCTTCCGAAGGGGGAAGGAATCTATAGCTGTAACGTCGTCAGCTATTTTCCCACGGGCTCCCACGAAGTCTGGGAAAAGGAGACTTCAAATGGGCGCCAGATGACCACCCTGATGACACTTACGAATTCTTGAATTCTTGAGGTCGAACGTGACCCCCAACAAAGTGCGGAAAGCATATTGTTTTTACGAAAGGAGAAAACTTTCATACAAGTTCTCACGGGTTGTGGAGTGTCCATTGTGTGTATGCGATAGACTGTCGCCAACTGCCTGTTTCTCGAAATAATTTAGATAGACCTCCCAAAAAGACGTTCTGAATTTTCCCACGGAAAATTTCAGTTTCTCAGGCTGTCAAGACAGTATCTGAGAACAAATCAGCGCCTGTTAACCAATGGAGAGATGCTCCGAAAAAGACGTTTAGCGAATCACTGCAGCAGACGCACAAGACACGCCCAGAAAACCTGGACATAAAAACAGTGAGTGAAAATAATTAGAGAGTTTTTTTTTTTAGTCTGAAGAATACGCAGTCGTTGCGTAGAGAAGAGAGAGCCTTTCTCTTGTATTTTACGGCTCTTCCCGAGTCGCTAGTAAGCTTTAGAGAGCCCCTTTCTCTCTTGTGTATTTTACGGCTCGTCCCGAGTCGCTACTAAGCTCTGTCAAGAGCGGAAAAAGAAACCCTCAAAGAAGCGTAGCCGGACTTTTTCTCCGCTACCTCTGTTTGAACTCAAGTGATTATCGTTTCCTATTGGAAATGGACTACTTTGCTAAGCAAACTACTTTGTTATGATAAGCAGTTGAACTTACCTTAAAATTCAATTTGTGAAATTTAACACTTACCTTATTTTAATTACGCTACCAATAAAATTGCTACAGCTAAAATCGCTACA